CCTCACCTGTCTCCCTACCATTTCCCTTCTCCCCTCTGGCCAATCCCCCTCCCCCCAACCCCCACCAAATCGTCCTTCCCTCTTTCTCTCCACTGCCTTCCCCTCTCCCTCTTTACCTCCCCCTGTCCCCCCCTATCCCCCCTCCATTGTGGTGAAGGATGCTAATTTAGAACACCAGGGCCCTGGGCCAGGAGACGTTTAACATGCACTTGCTGTTTCTGCATTCTAGGAAGGCCGTGATGTCTAGCAGGCACAGAACCCAAGCCTTGCAACTATCTCTGCTCTTCATTGTTCTAACCAGTTTCAGCTTCATGGTGCACACAATTTCCTATTACTTAACTGGAAGGTAGGTTCAAACTCCTGATCTCTTGCAACCGAACAATACTATATTGGTCTCAGAGGGAGTCAAATGTAGGTTCACAAGCTTGATACACGGACTTAAGTTATGTGGGGAGATCATACAAATGAAGTGTTTTCTCTAGAATTCAGAAGGTTAAGGGGTGACCCGATCGAAGATATTAACAGGAAAATACAGGGTAGGTAAAGCACAGCAAACTATGTTATAAAAAAAAGTTATAAAAATGTTATTAAAAAACTATGTTATAACCTGCACCTTATCACAGGCCATTAACTTCTAGGCTGCATAACTGCAGGCTATCCCTGATTTATGAACATTTGACTTGCAAACATTCATCGGCAGGAACGAGGTCCCGTATTAATGTCAATTTTAGAGATGCAAACATTTTCTCATACTTAGGACTGGCTATTTTATAGCGTCCTGGATTGTGTTCCAATTTGCAACTTATCAATGTAGTTAAGAACGCAACCCGTCCACCTGTAATCCATTAACATACGAGGCTGTTAACACTTTGCATTTAAGGTTTGTCTCGTTATGTTCCACAGATAAGGCTGTTCAATTCTGGTTAAAATCAACTTTGGTAATTTCTAAAGGAGAGAGGAACCAGTGGGAATCTGCGAACACAGTGGCCTGTCAGCAAGATTAGAGTTAGCAGGACACTGGGAGTTGCAAAAAGGAAGGCAGCTCACCACCATCTTCTCAAGGGGCAACCAGGGATAAACTAGGCAATAAATGCCAAGCCCAGCCAATGACACTCACATACTATAAACAAATGACATGACTCCTGCACAGCCCTTGGGGATGTTGAAGGTGCTACGTAAGATGATGGTAAGAAAAGGTTAATGTTAAGGACTGTGTTAAGTTTTACCCAGACTGATAAAGACACACAGTGCTGGGGTGGCAATGAAGAGAAAACAGTTTGAGATCCCAATGGGGTCTGGCGTGTCCCCATATATTTTCTAACCAATCTGCTCAGAGATGTTATAACCCACCTCTGGAGCAGGTAGGATTTGAGCCCAGGTTTCCTCACTCAGAGTTAGGGGCACTACCACTGCATCACAGGTGCTCTGGTTTTCTCCCATAGTCCAAAGATGTGCAGGTTAGGTGGACTACTCATGGAAAATGCAGGATTACAGGGATAGGATGCGGGGGTGGCTGTGTGTGGTCTAGGTGGGATACTCTTCGGAGGGTCGATATGGACACGATGGGCCAAATAGCCTGCTTCCACACTGTAGGAAGTCTCTGATTCTATGAACAGCCCTCCCCCGGCTCTGCATAATGTTGGTCATTATGACCAACTACGTCCTGTAACTTAGACTTATTGTAATGTCCCAGTAAACTATATCTTCTTGTATGGACGAGTTCATCGTTGACCACTGTTGGAGCTCGAGTGGAATGGGTCAAGTCCTGGTTCAAGTCCCACCTGCTCCAGAGGGTATGTCATAACCCGTTCTGAACAAGAGGATCAGCCACCGCACCTTAGCCTAAACAATGGATGCCTGGCAGTGGTTGCTCCTACAGACGTTTAGCAGGGGATGCTATAGGAGTGCAGCTTGTTGTTCTGTGCACCACATTCCTCCCTGTGACCTCTCTCTCTTTGGCTTTTTAGTCACAGTTCACAAATCCCGCTAGAATCTCCCTGCATTCCCAAGAAGAACCTGGTCTTCCTGAAGACCCACAAAACAGCCAGCAGTACCATCCTGAACATCCTGTATCGGTACGGTGAAGCCCACAACCTCACGTTCGCTCTGCCCTTTTACGACCACTTGGGCTACCCTGAAAGGTTCAAGGCGGGATACGTCAAAAACTTCGACATGAATCGCCCTGGCCAGTTCAACATCCTGTGCAACCACATGAGGTTTTACCACCCGGAGGTAATGAGTCATTTACCTTTTGCCTCTTATTATCATCGTTCTGCTGTGTTCAGTGTGAGTTGGTTCTTCCCACCCTCCCCACTTGGAAAAAAGAGGAAGGCCTTGGAGGGCAAGCAGCGCAGCACAATCCCAGAGCCGATGGGGTTAAACCCCGAAGCCAGTTTCCTCACCTGGCTCATAATTTCTCAAACGTTAACTACAGCGTGGTGTTTGAGCTCGTTAATGCATCCATTCGGATCAAGAAAGAGAGAAACAGGCGTGTTGCTAAACAAAGAGACCTTGGGGTACAGGTTCATAGTTCCTTGAAAGTGGAGTCACAGGTAGACAGGGGAGTGAAGAAGGCATATGGTACACTTGCCTTTGTTGGTCAGTGCATCAAGTACAGGAGTTGGGAGGGTCATGTTGCAGCTGTACAGGACATTGGTCAGGCCACTTTTGGAATACTGCGTCCAATTCTGGTCTCCATTCTATAAGAAGGATGTTGTGAAATTTGAAAGGGTTCAGAAAAGATTTACAAGGATGTTGCCAGAATTGGAGGGCTTGAGCTATAGGTAGAAGCTGAATAGGCTCAGTCCATTTTCCCTGGAGTGTCAGACACTGAGGAGTGACCTTATGGAGGTTTATAAAATCATGAGGGGCATGGATAGGGTGAATAGCCAAGGTCTTTTCCCCAGGATTGGGGAATCCAAAACTAGAGGAGCATAGGTTTAAGGTGAGAGGGGAAAGATTTAAAAGGCACTGAAGGGGCAACTTTTTCACACAGAGGGTGGTGCGTGTATGGAATGAGCTGCCAGAGGAAGTGGTGGAGGCTGGTACAATTACAACATTTAAAAGGCATCTGGATGGGTACATGAATAGGAAGGGTTTAGAGGGATATGGGCCAAATGCTGGCAAAAGGAACTAGATTAATTTGGGATATGTGGTCAGCATGGAGGGGTTGGACCGAAGGGTCTGATTCCGTGCTGTATGTATCTAAGTATGAGCCAGAAAAGTAGCTATTAGGGATTCCCTCAAAACTGAGAAAAATGGTAACAAAGGATATCTGGTCAGTATGGATGTGTTGGACTGAAAGGTTTGTTTCGTGCTGTACATCTCTATGAATCTATGACTATACTCCCCTGCTGGTGGAGTAAGGTGGTTACAGTTTTTGTAACTGGGGAGCAGAGGAGTGTGGCATGGATTGGGGGCTGGGGAGGGCGGTGGGGGGCAGTGGGGAGGAGGCTGCAAAATCCAGAACAAGGAGGGCAGAATCTTTAATCTGGCCTCTCAAGGGAAGCACCCTCTCAGACTGAGTACAGCAGAAATCTAGAACACTTTGTCCCACTTGAGACTGACATCAATTTAAATATTTCCGAACTGCAATCGCTAGGCTTTGGCTGGGTAAAGGGAATTAAGGAGGACCAAAGCAAAGTGGTAGATGGAGTTCTGCTGTCTAAACTAATGGTGCGACCTGAATCTTGGGGCTGAATGGCCTCCTCATGTTCCTGTGCAGTTCTGATTGCTACTAGCCCTTGCAGTCTTTTGACGTAGTGAAGTATCTGGACTGCCTAAGAGGGTGGTGGATGCAGATTACAGTGAGCCTTTCAAACTCGTAAAGAATCATAAAATCCCTACGGTATGGAACCAGGGTCAAGTCTGCACTGATCCTCTGAAGAGCAGCTCACCCAGACCCACACCCTACCCAATCCCTGTAACCTTGCATTTCCCATTGTTAACCCACCCTAACCTGCACATCCTGGACACCAGGGGACAATTTAGCACGGCCAATCCACCCCAACCTGCACATCCCTGGGCACTATGGGACAATTTAGCACGGCCAATCCACCCTAACCTGCACATCCCTGGGCACTATGGGACAATTTAGCACGGCCAATCCACCCTAACCTGCACATCTTTGGACTGTGGGAAGAAACCGGAGCACCCGGAGGGCACCCACTCAGACACAGGGAGAATGTGCAAACTCCACACAGACAGTTGCCCGAGGGTGGAATCGTATTCGGGTCCCTGGCACTGTGAGGCAGCAATGCTAACCAGTAAGAGTGAAAAAATGTGGAAGACTGTGAAGAAAAGACAGGAGAAAGATACCCAGCTGAGCTGCTCTTGCAGAAAGCTAGCACAGACATAGTGGGCCAAATTGGCTCTTTCTGTGCTCCAACTCCTACATGGTTCTAGATAGCCAGCCAGTCAATGCGTTCAGCTACTGAAACATGTAGTCACAGTGGTCCTAGGATTACGATTAAAATTAACAGTTACGGTTAGGATTAAGGTTAGAGTCAGGATTAGGATTAAGGTTAGAGTCAGGATTAGGATTATGTTTGGAATCAGGATTAGGATTACATTTAGAGTCCGGTTTAGGATCAAGGTTAGATTTAGGATTAGGATTAAGGTTTGAGTGAAGATTAGGATTAAGGCTAAGAGTTAGAATTACAATTAAAATTCGAGTTAAAATTAGGATTAAGGTTAGAGTTTGGGTTAGGTTTATGGTTAGAGTCAGGATTAGGATTAAGGTTAAGGGATTAGGATTAAGGTTACAATTAGAATTAGGATTAAGGTTAGAGTTAGAGTAAGGGTTTGAGAAAAGGTTAGGGTTAAAGTGAGGATCAGGTTTAGAACCTTCCTCCAGCTCAAAAAATTGATCGCCTCACTGAGTTTTCCTGTCACTGAGCACATTCTGTACCAGTGTTGGTCCTGTTCCTTTCATACTGTTACCTACAACTTCCTTCTCAGGTCTGTTTGGGTCAGTTTGGCCATTCTGACGCTCTCTCCCACATTACCCCCACCCTCCGCAGGTGAAGAAGGTGGTGCCGAGCGATTCGTTTTACTTCTCCATCGTCAGGGATCCGATCCGACTGGCCGAGTCCTCCTTCGCCTATTACCGCTTCTACTCGCCAGCTTTCAAGAAGGCCGACAGCCTGGATGAGTTTGCAGCTTCTGCCGAGAGTAACTATAAGGGCCTGGAGCTGAACAACCACTACGCCCGCAACCTCATGTGGTTCGACTTCGGCCACGACAACAACATGGAGGACGTGCCCGGTTACGTCAACACCATCCTCGCCCAGCTGGACCGGATCTTCGGCCTGGTGCTGGTCGCCGAGTACTTCGACGAGTCGCTGATCCTCCTCAAGGAGGCGCTGTGCTGGAACTTGGAGGACGTGGTCTACTTCAAGCTCAACGCCCGCTCCAGCAACTCAGTTGCACCAATGAACGCCAGCACGATGGAGAGGCTCCAAGCCTGGAACCACCTGGACTGGAGACTGTACAGCCACTACAATGCCTCGTTCTGGCAGCGGGTCTCCAATTACGGCACCCAGAAAATGGAGAGGGATGTGGCCCAGCTGAAGGCCCTGAGCCACCGCCTGGCCTCCGTCTGCCTCCAGATCAACAACTCCACCGGCTTTGGGGCATCGAAGCCCATGGCCCACGCCGCTGGTACTGCAAAGCTCCTGGGCTACGTGTTGAAGGCCAACCTCAGCGGTGATGACTTGGAGCTCTGTCACCGTATGGTACTCCCCGAGAAGCAACACCTCACCCTCTTGCAGAGGAGGCAGTACCCAAAGACTCCACCCGTGGGGAAATAGTTGAAATGAAGAATGACTGGGGTTCCACCTGAGGAAGATGGGCCAAATGGCCTGGATGAGTGCCGCAAATGTTCAAGCTAATGCTCGGTGAATGATTGGAGAGGCGTGGCAGGGTCTCTGAGGTGATGGCATGTAAATGGGGAGCATGGACATTGCGGGATAACAGGCATCCGGTGACAAAGGTGGCACCAGGTGAAGACAGCTCCACCAAAATGGACAACAGGTGCAGGAAATGTCATTATCTGTCCATAGCTTTGGGAATGTTAAGGTGGAGGGGACGTCATAAAAATGAAGTTCTTCCTCTAGTTACACAGACTCTCTTTTGTGTAACACAGCCCTTTGCCTTCTGCTGTTGCTCTCGAAAATTAATTAATTGTAAATAAATTCAATTCACTATTTTAACCTGGGTCAATACAGTTTCAGTGCGTGACCATCTCGCAGAAACTGCACGGGGTTTCCGATTTTTTGCAATATCACAGTCGTATGTATATTCAAGGATGGGACAAACAGATTTTTAATCAGTAACGGGAATCAAGGTAGGAAAGTAGAGTTGAGGATTGGAGTTGAGGATGTTCATATCAGCCATGATCTCATTGAATGGCAGAGCAGACTCAGAGTGGGACAAATGTTAATGACTTGGAAGAAGGAAAGGAATGCACTGTAGCCAGATTGCGGATATCACTAAAACAGGTGAAAAGGCAGGTTATGAGAGAGATGCAGTCTACAGAGAGATGTTCATCAGGTAAGTAAGTTGGCAAATGGAATATAATGTGGGAAGATGTAAATTTGTTCCTTTTGCTTGGGAGAACAGAAGAACAGAATATTATTTAAATTGAGAGAAACTGCAGAAAGCTCCAAGACAAAGAGACTTTGAGGGACTTGTGCATGAAACACAGAAAGCTAGCACACACAGCCAGCAGATAATACAGTCATAGAGTCATAGATCTGTATAGCACGAAAACAGACCCTTCGTCCAATTCATCCATGTCGACCAGATATCCTCAATTAATCTTGTCCCATTTGCCAGCATTTGGCCCATATCCCTCTAAACCCTTCCTATTCATGTACCGTCCAGATGCCTTTTACTGTACCAGCCTCCACCACTTCCTCTGGCAGCACATTCCACACATGCACCACCCTCTGCGTACAAAAGTTAGGTCCCTTATAAATCATTCCCCTCTCACCTTAAACCTATGCCCCTCTAGTTTTGGATTCCACTACTCTGGGAAAAAGACCTTGGCTATTCACCCTATCCACGCCCCTCATGATTGTATAAACCTCCATAAGGTCATCCCAAAGCCTCCGACGCTCCAGCGAAAATAGCCCCAGCCTATTCAGCCTCTCCCTATAGCTCAAACCCTCCAACCCCGGCAACATTCTTGTAAATCTTTTCTGCACTCTTTCAAGTTTAACAACAAATTTCCTCTCGCAAGGAGACCAGAATTGAATGCAATATTCCAAAAGTGGCCTAACCAATGTTCTGTACAGCCACAACATGACCTCCCGACTCCTATACTCAATGACGAATAAAGGCAAGTCTACCAAATGCTTTCTTCACCACCCTGTCTACCTTCAACTCCACTTTCAAGGAACTATAAATCTGCACTCAGGAAGGCTAATGGAATGTTTGCCCTTATTTCAAGGGGGTTGGAGTGTAAGAGTGGGAAGTCTTACTGCAACTGTACAAGGTGCTGGCGAGACCACATCTGCAGCATTGTGAGCAGTTTTGGTCTCCTTATTTAAGAAAACATATCATTTCACTGGAGGCAGTTCAGAAAAGGTTCACTTGGATGATGTAATCCCAAGCTTTTAAGAATTAAACATTATTAATTCATGTTTATAACTTTTCACTTGTGCCATGTAACAGCTTTCTATGGAACATGTAATATAATTTTATTGGAGACAGGTTCACTAGGATGATCCCTCGTGTGGAGGGATTGTTTTGTGAGCAAAGGCTAAACAGGTTGGGACTCTACTCATTAGAAAAATGAGAGGTGATCTCATTGAAACATACCAGGTTCTTAAAGGGCTTTTTAGGGTAAATGTTCCCCCTCATGGGAGAGGCTAGGGCTAGAGGGCATGCTCGCGAATAAAAGGGCGACAATTGAAGACCGAGAATGAGGAGGAATTTCTTCTCAGAGTGTTGGGAGTCTTGCCACAGAAAGTTGTGGGGGCAGAGTTCTTGTGTATATTGAAAGCTGAGACAGATTCTTGATCAATCGGGAAATCGAGGAGTTACAGGGAAAGGGCAGGAAAGTGGACATGAAGTATATCAGATCAGCAATGATTCTATTGAATGGAGGAGCAAGCCTGTTGGGTCAAATGCCCTACTCTTGTTCCTATTTCTGATGATCTTATGGGCTGTAGTCAATGCAAGCGAACTCTGATAGGGACTATTTTGAGGATGCCAGAGACGGGTCAGTCACGTATCCATCAAACCCATCAAGCCAGGGATTCCCTACCGTGAGGCAGCAAGGTATCAGTTTCTATAATATGAACAGCATTAAGTCCACCCAGCTTTACTGTCTCAGCCTTCAACACACACAAGGACTCTGCCCCTCCACAGCTGTCTGTGGGTTCCAAAGAATCACAACCCTCTGGGTTGAGGTGAGGGAGTATGGTTTCATTAGGTTGTCATAAGGATTTTAAATATCAGTTGGTACGCAATTATGTTTCAAATTCTCTAAATGGCTACGTGCCTCATTTAGTATCTAAACACCGTACCAAACACACGTACTGTTCTCACCCTCAAAGTGCTCCGTTGTGAAGATCTTCATGGTCTGAACACTAACTTATGTTTGAGCACTTATTCCTTTTTTTGGAACCTTGACTACGGTTTATTTACAACATTGACGCTGGCCAATTAATTTTGTGAACTGAAGACTGATGCACATTGATGACTTGAGACTTTCAATCCTAGCTGTAGTTCTGTCTATATGGTCACTTAAAGTGCATATGTCTTGTTTTCTTTAACATGTCGGTAGCATTGTTATTTCAGTTTCTTTGGGACCAAAATACAAATTTGCAGAATACGATTGATTGTCCGATCATGACAAAGATGATGGAGTGGCACATGAAGGTTGATAAAGGTGAGGTTCAGCAGTGTAGTAGCCAAAACAGGAAGATTGTTATCAGAATGGCAATAGATTGAGAAAAAGGAAGGTGCCACAAGACCTGGGTGCCTTGGTACACCTGTACTGACAGTAAGCATGGTTAGAAACAAAAAAAAATGCAGATGCTGGAATCCAAGGAAGACAAACAGGAGGCTGGAAGAACACAGCAGACCAGTCCTGAAGAAGGGTAATACCCAAAACATTGACTGCACCTTTCCTCCAGATGCTGCCTGGCCTGCTGTGTTCTTCCAGCCTCCTGTTTGTCTCCACTGAAGGTAAGCAGGCAGGTGCAACAGGCAGTGAAGAAGGCAAATTGTATGTTGGCCTCTGTGGCGAGAGATTACAATCACAATAATCAAGCATATTAATGCACATTGGTGCTCTTCTGCGGCAGTGGTAATGTCCCTGTCTCTGGCCCACAAGGTCTGCAATTATTCCTTTTGGGTTACTGATCATTGCTTGGTCTTTCCGTAAACTTTGCCCCTCGATCTCATTAACCTTACTCCAATATTTTCCTTAATCGCGTTAGGTATTTGGAGCAGGGACAGTATCTAATTGTCCAGCAAGGCCAGTCCAGAGAAATGATTAGGAGGTGGGGTGGATACATAGAGTGTTGAGCACAGTTTTGGTCTCCCTAGCTGAGGAAAGATGTTCTGGCAATGGAAGAAGTGCAACGAAGGTTTACTAGACTGATTCCTGGGATAGCTGGGCTGACATATGAGGAGAGATTGAGTCGGTTAGGTTTGTATTCACTGGAGTTTAGAGTGAGGGCGATCTCATAGAAACTTATAAAATTCTAATGAGATAAATGCAGGGAGGATGTTCCTGATAACCAGGGGGTTGCTGGGTCAAGATCCTGCAACTCCCTCCATCATGGCACCATGTGGGTGTCCCTACATCACACAAGATAGCAGCAGCTTAAGACTCGTCAGCCTTTGAGAAGTAATTAGGGAATCAGAAATAAACCCTCTGGCCTGTGAACAAGTAAATAAAAACAAAAGGCTTCCAGTGTTTAATTGTTGAAATACAGGTGAAGTCTCATGGTGAGTTTATGACAGAAACTTATCTCACCAAGACAAAGATCTGAACAAGTTGAGTTTGTGGCAGATGAAAGTGGATAAAAGTGAGATTAACCAGTTTAGTTGCAAAAGCAGGAAGGATTGTTATCTGAATGGGAATAGACTGAGGAAGAGGAAGATGCAACAAGACCTAAGTGCCTTTGTACACCAGTCACTGGAAGCAGGCAAGCAGTAAAGAAGGCTAATGATATTTGTCCTTTGCAGCAAGAGGATTTGCGTACAGGAGCAAGGGAGTCTTGCTGCACTTGTATAGGGCCTTAGTGAGACCACACCTGGAGTACTGCCTGCAGTTTTGATCTCCTTGTCTGAGGAAGCATGTTCTGACTTTGGACGGGGTGCAGCAAAGATTTAGATTTAGATTTTGTTGTCACATGTACTCAAGTACAGGAGTACAGTGAAAAGTATATAATGTCGCCACATATGGCGCCATCTTAGGTACAAAAGTGATTGTTATAAAAAACTTAGACGCAAAATATTAAGAGAAATAGAGTTAAAAAGTTAAGCATTACCTTCATAAAATAAGTAGAAAAATAAAGAAATATGGTAATAGTTAGCATTAAAGTCTTTCTTAATTTAAACTGGAAATTAAGGAATTAAGTTAAAAGTTCAACAGTCTTTGATGAGTACTCTGCTTAGCTAGCTCTCTGGGAGACTTCAGCTGCCTGTTATCGACAAAGTCACCACAGAAACCAGGGGAGTTCCTTCACCACTTTCTCTTGCCATCACTACTGCTGAAGCAGCTGCCTCCCTGATGTCCTCCTGGTGCCTCCAGAACATGCCCGGGCAGGATGCACATGCATGCTGAGCCGAGACACTGCCAAGACCTGCTGAGAGACCGGGCTGACATACCACTGAGAGACCAGGCCAAGACCCCCAACCAGCTGCCAAGAAACCAGGCTGACACACCACCATGAGCTGCAGAGAGACCAGGCCAAGACCTGATCCGAGCCACCGAGAGAACAGGCCAAGGCATCACCACAGGTGCCTTGCCAGGTCCACACCGAGACCGGGAAGAAACACCAAGAGGAAAAGGAAAAAGAAGAGAAGGAAATGATAAATAAACGTATGGAGCAGATGAGCTCTGTCAGGAGCATCCTACTCCACTTATCTTGGATCACCAAGGCAGGCTGCCTTGACAAACTAATTCCTGGGATGGCAGGACTGATATATGAAGAGAAACTGGATCGGTTAGTATTATATTCACTGGAGC